CCCTGCAATTAGGGAACAAACCACTGCCTCCTTCTCTTTCTTTACAAGTCATTAACATGTTTAAGTGTCAACTGATGGCAGCACTGAAACGGCCAAAGCCATGTTTTTCTCAATGCTGATGAAAACAAAGCGACAGGGTCTCAGCACATTTCTGATGCAGAAAGATGTGGAGGATGAAAACAAGCTAAAGAAACAAATGTACCAGATAGAAATGAACAGGATGAAAAGAGGAGCTAAACAGGGACATGAGGCACTATTCAAACTCAGGTGAGCGTGGACTCTGAGTAATACCTGAGCTCTTCTCCCTCACCTGTGCTGTGGTGTCTGGTCTCTCTTCAGGCCTGGATGGTTGTTTGGAGGACTGTTTTTTTCTAGACAAGAGAAAGAGTGAGCAAACCAACGGATCATCAGATGAAACAGCTGCTTCCTGAATTTAATACGCATTACCAACTGTAATCACAGTGAAAGTGAACTGCTCACCTAATCAACAGGAAGGCAGAAAGGAACAGGAGAGCCAGAAAAACAGCTGTGATTGATCCAGCAACTGCTGCTTTCATTGAACCTGGGAAACAGTGATCAAACATAAACACTGACAATTAATCATGTAATTTATTCTATGGTGCCCGGGTCTTTTAGCAGCTGGTGATTGGACATAAAGCACAAACTTCAGACAGAAGAATCTAAACTAAGATCAAATCAAATTTTATTTGTATAGTGCCAAATCACAACAAAAGTCATCTCAGGACACTTTACAAAGTAAGGTCTAGACCTTACTGTTATCAATATTATTACATAGGGAAAACCCAACAAATCCCCCTTGAGCAAGCACTTGGTGACAGTGGGGAGGAAAAACTCCCTTTAACGGAAGAAACCTCCGACAGACCCCGGCTCTTGGTGGGCGGCCTTCTGCCTCGACCGGTTGGGGTGATGGATAGAGGAGAGAGAAAAGAAGAAAAGCAACAGGACACAACAAACAATCGAACACTGGTCAGGTTGATGTGGCTAGTGACTGCTCATCAGAAACAGAGCTCCAGAGCCAGGGCAACCTGCAGAAAGGTACGGGGAGAGAGAGGAGACAGAAAGTTAGTGATGCGTAATGGTGGCATATAGAAGCATAGGGAGAGAGGAAAAGAGAGGGGAGGAGAGAAACTCAGAGCATCATGTGGCCCCCCAGCAGCCTAGGCCTATAGCAGCATAACTAAAGGAAGGCTCAGGGACACCTGATCCAGCCCTAACTATAAGCTTTATCAAAAAGGAAAGTCTTAAGTCTAATCATAGAGGTAGAAAGGGTGTCCGCCTCCCGAACTGAGACTGGGAGTTGGTTCCATAGGAGAGGAGCTTGATAGCTAAAGGCTCTGCCTCCCATTCTACTGTGGATTCTAGGAACCACAGGTAAACCTGCACTCTTGAGCACGAAGTGCTCTGTTAGGATGATAAGGCTCTACGAGGTCTTTAAGATATGATGGAGCCTTGTCATTAAGGGTAGTATGTTAGGAGAAAGATTTTAAATTCTATTCTGAATTTTACAGGGAGCCAGTGGAGAGAAGCTAATATGGGAGAGATGTGATCTCTCTTGCTAGTTCCTGTCAGTACTCTGGCTGCAGCATTTTGGATTAACTGGAGACTTTTTAGGGAACTATCCTGATAGTAAAGAGTTACAGTAGTCCAGCCTGGAAGTAACAAATGCATGGACCAGTTTTTCAGCATCACTTTGAGGCAGGATGTTCCTGATTTTCGCAATATTGTGCAGGTGAAAAAAGGCAGTTCTAGAGACTTGGTTTATGTGTGATTTAAATGCCATATCATGTTCAAAGATCTGATTCATTTGGCCTCATAGACAAATATAACTGAGTATCATCTGCATAGCAATGGAAATTTATGCTGTGCTTCCTGATAATATTGCCTAAAGGGAGCATGTATAAAGTGAAGAGAATTGGACCTAACACAGAGCCCTGTGGAACGCCGTGACTAACTTCAGTTTGTGTGGAAGATTCATTATTAACAGGAACAAATTAAAATTTTTCTGATAAATAAGATTTGAACCAACTTAGTGCAGTTCCTTTACTCCCAATAACATGTTCAAGTCTCTTTAGCAAGATGCTGTGATCAATGGTGTCAGCTCATGAAGTTACTCATTGGAGCCGCGTTGCATTGTGGGATGTCAAGTCCTTTTACGACAAGTAAAAGAAACAACCATCAAGTTGCAAAATTTAGCAAGACAAGTACCAGAAACATATTCAATACTCCAGTCTCATTTGTGCAAAGTGATGAGTTGATGATAAGAACACTGAGGAATTGAGATAAAGTCATTTTCACTCAAGAGGTTTTAGCAAGTAGACATAAGGAAGATTATAATAATAAAGTTAAACACAACATCCCGAAAGAAAGGAGTATCGGGAAAAAAAATAAAAATAATACACATGTTTCGATAAAGTGTAAAATAATCAAAATATAAAAGGGATAGTTATAAACTATTAGTATAAATAAATAAATAAAAACTCGACACTGAAAGGCCCGAACAGCTGAGGTTCGAAACCCAGACCCTTCTCGCTGTGAGATGATTGTGCTGACCACCGCTCCATCATGCAACCCCCGTTCTAACGTTTGCGCTGTTTCAGTACAGTATGGCGAAATACCGTTGTTCGTTTTTTTTATTAAAAAAAAAAAAAGCTTTTATTTTGAAGGCAATGGCCGGAAGTACGGTTTCTAATTACAGTGCCTTGACATTTATTGAACACAGCAAGGTCGAGTGGTGGTACTGTCGTTCGACTCTTTGGGTAACATTACTACAGTCATGGAGCGACACCCTATGTCAACGGCGTGGTTCACTTACTAACACTCAGTGAAAGTGGGGATGGTTTCAAGAAGTTAGTACAGTCTGTATACCATATTTATATTTTGCAGCAGTGTCAGTGGGTTGTCTGAGTGTTACAGACTGAGTAAGCTTTTAGCATTATCATACTGCGTAATTACAGCTAGCTGACAGGAGCTAGCTAGGTTTATTACCTGTAAACATGGGCTCCTCTCCAAATCACTCCACCATTAACGTTACAGAGACAGGACTGTCTAGTAAACCCCTCCCGGCTGTCTCATTAGCCGGACGTGTGCAGCAGGTCTTCAACCACGTGAGGATGGAAAACCTGCTCGCTGGACTGAGTGGAGGAGTGGTATCAACGCTGGTACTTCACCCACTGGACCTGGTCAAAATAAGGTTTGCAGGTACAGTCTGACAACTTGCTTAACTTATACTAATGACGATTGCCATGGAATGGAAACAAATGCAGAATCGGATATTTAAAAATAGATTTGCTTAATGGTGATGGCGTCATGCTACTATGGCTGAATTTAATTTATTTTAGAAATTGTTGGTGTGTTCAATTTTGGTGACATTACTTAACAAGGGTCTTTGATGTAAATGCAGTAAGTGATGGATTGGAATTAAGACCTAAGTACAGTGGCATACTGCACTGTATGAAGAGTGTTTGGCAGCAGGAGGGACTGAGAGGACTCTACCAAGGAGTGACACCCAATGTCTGGGGTGCTGGAGCATCGTGGGGCCTCTACTTCTTTTTGTGCGTAAGCTATGTTGGCCCACCTCTGTATCATGATTACTTCATTAACAACAGACATTTGACTATTTCATGTGTTATTTCCCACACTGTGTTCCCCACAGTTACAATGCAATCAAAGGGTACACAAAAGAAGGTCGTCAGAATGAGCTGAGCGCTACAGAACACCTGGTGTCTGCGGCAGAAGCAGGTTAGTCCCAACGTGTATCCGCAACCCACATGCTCACACAGTCATCGATGACAGCTAGATAATAGTGCTCTTTGCTGTTGACAGGAGGCAGATGCAAATTAGTACATCACCCCTCTGTTCATGTCAGTCACATGGGTCAATATCCAAAAGTGTTTCAACAGAAAATGTTGTATTTATTAACAGTTATGCACATGTAAAAGTAGCTACTGAATGTACTTACAAAAGTGTCTTGCACATATTATATTATGACCTACCTTCACCTAGGCATCCTAACGCTCACCCTAACCAACCCAATCTGGGTGACCAAGACCCGGCTGGTGCTGCAGTACAATACTGAGCCAACCAGTAAACAGTACAAGGGGATGGTGGATGCACTGGTCAAGATCTACCGCCATGAGGGAGTCCCTGGTCTATACAAGGTTAGACATCATTGTGTTGGACTTGTACTTAATGAGTCAAAGTCAAAGTGTTTATTGTCATATGCACAGTACGGAAACGCTGTGCAATGAAATTCTTACTTTGCCGTCCACATGAATGCCACACAATACATGAAGATACACATGAACTGCTACTTTTAGGCAACAGCAACAAATGGAAAAAAAATTATGTTGTGGACTGTCGGGAGAGGATGATTTGTAATAGTTTATTATAACCAGACTGCCTTTTGTCCTGCTGCACTGTAATACCATTTTGTATTCACTCATTAATGAAAAATTACTTCACCACTAGAGGGCAGTGCAGCTGTACATTGGAGCACTTAAAACCCCATAATGGTTATAATTTAAACAATTGTTGGGGCTGTAGTTTAGCTCCTTTATGTGACTTGTATTAGCCTGGTGTGACAAGTGTCACCAAAGTGCTCAGTGACAGCATGAGAGAAGACAGGGAGGGAGCTACAGACACAATGCAGTGGGCTTTTCTAGTGATATTTAACCCATAATGTGGGTATTTGAGTGTGTCGAGACAGACCAACTTACAGACTGTACTTGTCATAGGGTTATGTTCCTGGTTTGTTTGGTACATCCCATGGAGCACTGCAGTTCATGGCCTATGAAGAGCTCAAGAGATACCACAACAAGTACAAGAAAGTCCCTTCAGATGCAAAGCTGGTGAGTCATTACACCCATGAGCCAGAGACAGACAGACAGGCTGGAAGCATGTCCAGTGCTTTAATTAACACAAGTTTGTAACTTCAGTTTTAATACAACTGAAACCACAGTGGATAGCTAGCAGCTGAAGAAGTGACTAATCAGTTTTCCAACTCCACTCTGCTAATTTCTTCCTCTCTCACTCTCTTTGTCCGTCTCTATAAACAGAATGCACTGGAATATATCACAATGGCAGCATTATCCAAAATATTTGCTGTGATCACAACATACCCATATCAGGTGGTGCGAGCTCGACTGCAAGACCAGCACAACACGTACAGTGGAGTTATTGATGTCATCGTACGAACATGGAGGTATGACACTGATCTACTAACAAAGAACCAAATGTGCTATTGTGGTCTCAGTTTCTGAATCTGGATATTGTGTCCTATTTGATTCATGGCTATGATTTTGTCCTTTTCTCTGCAGGAATGAAGGCGCCATTGGTTTCTACAAAGGCATCATCTCCAATGTGATACGCGTTACTCCCGCCTGCTGCATCACCTTTGTAATTTATGAGAATGTGTCTAGCTTTCTTTTGGGACAAAAGAAATGAGGCTCAGAGGTATGGGGTGGACAACTGCAGGGACTCTGAGCTTGATGCCACACCGGGTTACAAAGAAAAACACGTCAGGCTGAAACTGAACTCTCAGGGCTCCGTACGCAATGTGCTGATGTGACAGGCCTTTTTCTGACCTGAAAATGAGTCAAGCTGTGAAAGAGAACCAAATCAATTCTGGATTGTCAGTGACATGATGAGGTCCTGTCCAATTAATCATGAACTCAGGAGGTAGATTAATTAAATATTTCATCCTATGGGAGTTATGTTTACATCTTATCTTTTCTGGCAGCAGAAAATGATACAGGGGACAAGTTGATTATTGCATGGATGTGTAATAATCAAGTTATTTGGTTATGTTTACAGCAACAATGGAGATGGTCTTTAGTTTTAAGTATGCAAACCTAGTTCTCTGGAAATTCATAATTTGTTGACATTTTATTACAACAAATTGTAACTGAACTGCTTTATAACATTTTGTTATAAAATGCATTATCTGCAGACCAAAAGTAGAAAATTAAATCTGGTAATTAGCAAGAACTTCTGCAACACAAGTACTTAAGTGGTGCAAGCGTATGTTGTCGCTCAAAAATTCAGATCAACTTAGAAACAGTAAGTTTAATTCCTAAACAATCTGGGACCAAGCACAAACGCGGTGCAGGCACAGAAAACAGGAAACGAGTACAGTTACCGCAGAAGTAGGAAACAGCAGTCAGAATCCCAAGTGGTTGTCCAACATCAGGACCATCACCAAGAAGGCACAGCAGAGGATGTACTTCCTGCGCCAGCTCAGGAAGTTTGACCTGCCCCAGGAGCTGCTGATACAGTTGTACAGAGGAATCATTGAATCCGTTCTCTGCACCTCCATCACTGTCTGGTTTGGCTCAGCAACCAAACAGGACAAGTATAGACTTCAGCGGAAAGTCAGGACTGCAGAACAAGTCATTGGTGTGAGCCTGCCCTCCATGGAGGACCTGTACACTGCATGGATCAAAAGGAGGGTGGAGAGGATCACTGCAGACCCTTCACACCCTGGATACAATCTGTTTGAACTCCTCCCCTCTGGACGGCATTACAGGTCACTGTAAACTAAGACAACCAGGCACAGGGACAGTTTCTTCCCCCAGGCTGTCACTCTGATGAACACTTAACCCACGACAGTATGATTAGACAATAACCCTCAGTGCAATACCTGTGTATATATACATTGTACAGATTATACATGGACTTTTTTTTATAACTTTCATAGAGTCATAGAGCTCTCTAGCTTTAAGTACTCTGCTTTTATCCCTATTTATCTCATTTCAATGAACATTCCTTGTTGTCTGCATTGTTTACTGTGTGTTTATACTGCTTTTTCTGCATTGTCTGCACTGTTTGTTGATGTTAATACTGCTCTTTTGTTATATTACACAGCCTTATGCTGACTTACTGTTTTGCACATTGAGAACCGATGTACCTGAGTCAAATTCCTCATGTGTCCATCACACCTGGCCAATAAAGTGGATTCTTATTCTGTAAACTTGCTTATAAAAGCGTTTCACACGGTTCAAAAATTATTCAGTGTTCACCTGCCTGAGTATAAACACAGTGTAACCTGAACTAAACATGAATTATCATGAGCTTTACTTTACATAATGAGCTTCGTGTCTACTGCGCTACCCATTAGCATGCTATTGTAATGCTATGGGCTAAGTGAGCTACCGCCTCATTCAAAATACATTGATATAAGCTTACCTCACCATGGTTCCGTTCTGATATAATCCTTCTTTGGTCAGGCTTGATCAGAAGTCAAACATGTTTGGAAAAAAGGCATTAAGCTGCTGTCTAGCAGAGCAAGTTCTCTGTGTTTGAAAGAACAGCAGTGTTGTCACTGCTAGCTGTTAGCAGCCTATTGTAATGCTATGGGCTAATGAGCCACTGCTTCAATGAACAGCGGTTTGCTTTTGGCGTACCCACTGCAATGTCAAAAACCTCCTGGTCAACAATTGACAAATGAAGGAAAAAACTATAAGTCCTATTGAAACAATTTGTTCACAGTGAGCAGCAGGAGGGCTCAACAAAAATGCTGATCACCTCTATGTCAAAATATTCCAGAAAATGAAGATGCAGTGGCAATTTAAAATGCCCTAGCTTTTGCTTCAAACTTACTTTCTGAATCCTTCTGTTGAATGGCCACCTATGGAGCAGTGAGACGGCACTCTCTCTGGAATGTGCGATGTTACGCAAATACCGTTCATATGTGTATAAAGCGTAAGGATGGCAGAATAAGAACAGAAAAACGGGCAAGAAATTGTTTAAAAACACAGACAGACAAGCTAGAGCGGGGAGTCATGTGACCCAGAGTGTGCCACTGGGATTGCATTGGTCCATTCATTCCTATGGAGAAATACAAAAAATATAAATGCTGATTATTTAAAAAACGTAAAAGATATCAAGATGATTGTTGCGCCATTGGTAGCCGAACTTCTCATGAGTTGAATAGAGTTGAAATGGTGTTTCTAGCCAAAGGGATGCCAGAGATATTAAGGTTCAAACTTTTTCCCATTCATTTCCAATGGGAAAAATTTTGTGAAAAAAGCTGAATTTATGAAAAAGTATTAAAGTTATATGGGCTGTCTAGCTGAAAGTATGTGGGAGGAGATGAGCGGTGAAAAACATACAGAAGAAACTATAATAAGATTTGGAAAACAAGAGTGTGGTTGCTTCGCATTCACACTAATTGTATAACATAGTATGGATGCTGACTCAGCATCCATATAATAAACAAATAAAGATCAGGAAAACATACTGTGGATGCTGAATCAGCATCCACACAATAAAGACCAGGAAAACATAGTATGGATGCCGACTCAGCAGCCATACAATAAATAATTGGATAACATAGTATGGATGCTGAATCAGCATCCACACAATAAAGACCAGGAAAACATAGTATGGATGCCGACTCAGCAGCCATACAATAAATAATTGGATAACATAGTATGGATGCTGAATCAGCATCCACACAATAAAGAACAGGATAACATAGTATGGATGCGGAATCAAGAGAGCATCCACACAATAAAGCTCACATAAGGGCCCCAAAACGCACCAACTCTTCAAACTAAAAGTCCAGCTTGTGCAATAACATTACATGAAGGCCCCAGAATGTGCCGGATTTTCAAAATGAAAAGCCCAGATCACAGGTTAAGCTCACATGAAGCCCTTTTTACAAATTTAAGCTGCTGTTTGAGTGATGGTTTTAAGCTCTCAGATTTTCTTAGAACATAACTTCCTAACTTTAGCTTTTGATTTAATCTTACATAATTATTCAACTTTTTGTTTTCATCTTCCATAAATAGTCAACATTTTTTCAACTTCCACAGTTGTTCAGCATTGCATCTCATTCTTTAGCTATTTCAGCATAGAACTTCAGCTATTTCTTCTCATCCTTCAGCTGTTTCATCAAATGATTTCAGGCATTTCAACATTTTCTGGGCAATACTTCAGCATTACAACATCCCCATGCATTTTTGTCAGGAAATGCATTTGTCTAGTTTCTAGTCTAACATCCGATAATATCCTCGAGTATAAGCTGGCAATTTAAAAAAATTGAATAACAGCCCTTGGAATCAATTGGTGTCACAAGTAGGATGCCCCAGCCTCAGTGAACTTAACTGAATCCCTGAAATTTCCATAAGAATAAATGGTATTCCTAATAGTGGTCTGAAAACTAAAATGTCTCCCTCAACTTTTTTTTCCATTCATTTTGCCACTCCCTCTTATTATCTTTTTTGGTTTTACTTCTGTATTCAACCTAATATCTGTTTTTTCATTCCGTAAATATGGCTTTGCTATACTGTCCACAATTTCATTGCCCCTGATCTCTATATGCCCAGGAATCCAGCACAACTGGACTGTACATCCACACTGACATAGACCATCTGGATGTTTACCCAGAACAATAATGTGTTAGTCCCTCTGGTCACAGTGTCCAGGACTACAGTGGGTACGAAAAGTATTCAGACCCCCTTAAATTTTTCACTCTTTGTTAAATTGCAGCCATATGCTAAAATCATTTAAGTTCATTTTTTTCCTCATTAATGTGCACACAGCACCCCATATTGACAGAAAACACAGAATTTTTGACATTTTTGCAGATTTATTAAAAAAGAAAAACTGAAATATCACATGGTCATAAGTATTCAGACCCTTTGCTCAGTATTTAGTAAAAGCAGCCTTTTGAACTAATACAGCCATGAGTCTTTTTGGGAATGATGCAACAAGTTTTTCACACCTGCATTTGGGGATCCTCTGCCATTCCTCCTTGCAGATCCTCTCCAGTTCTGTCAGGTTGGATGGTAAACGTTGGTGGACAGCCATTTTCAGGTCTCTCCAGAGATGCTCAATTGGGTTTAAATCAGGGCTCTGGCTGGGCCATTCAAGAACAGTCACGGAGTTGTTGTGAAGCCACTCCTTCGTTATTTTAGCTGTGTGCTTAGGGCCATTGTCTTGTTGGAAGGTGAACCTTCGGCCCAGTCTGAGGTCCTGAGCACTCTGGAGAAGGTTTTCGTCCAGGATATCCCTGTACTTGGCCGCATTCACCCTTCCCTCGATTGCAACCAGTCGTCCGGTCCCTGCAGCTGAAAAACACCCCCATAGCAGGATGCTGCCACCACCATGCTTCACTGTTGGGACTGTATTAGACAAGCGATGGGCAGTGCCTGGTTTTCTCCAAACATACCGCTTAGAATTAAGGCCAAAAAGTTCTATCTTGGTCTCATCAGACCAGAGAATCTTATTTCTCACCATCTTGGAGTGTACCTCTCTCACCAAGGCTCTTCTCCCCCGATAGCTCAGTTTGGCCGGACGGCCAGCTCTAGGAAGGGTTCTGGTCATCCCAAACGTCTTCCATTTAAGGATTATGGAGGCCACTGTGCTCTTTGGAACCTTAAGTGCAGCAGAAATTTTTTTTTTAACCTTGGCCAGATCTGTGCCTTGCCACAATTCTGTCTGTGAGCTCTTCAGGCAGTTCCTTTGACCTCATGATTCTCATTTGCTCTGACATGCACTGTGAGCTGTAGGGTCTTAGACAGGTGTGTGGCTTTCCTAATCACATCCAATCAGTATAATCAAACACAGTTGGACTCAAATGAAGGTGTAGAACCATCTCAGGGATGATCAGAAGAAATGGACAGCACCTAAGTTAAATATATGAGTGTCACAGCAAAGGGTCTGAATACTTATGACCATGTGATATTTCAGTTTTTCTTTTTTAATAAATCTGCAAAAATGTCAAAAATTCAGTGTTTTTCTGTCAATATGGGGTGCTGTGTGTACATTAATGAGGAAAAAAAATGAACTTAAATGATTTTAGCATATGGCTGCAATATAACAAAGAGTGAAAAATTTAAGGGGGTCTGAATACTTTTCGTACCCACTGTAAATATTATATTTACATGTAACGTGAGCTTTAGATCGCCCCCTTCCTTTCAGTAGGTCAGGCATATCGAAATGATCTAATACGACTTCAAACCAAGGATAATGCGCATGGGTTATACAAAAGTACGCCCTTGCTTCAAGCATGTTGGTCCCTACAGAAGATGAACACAACAACACCATAAGTCTTTCAAAGTAGCACAACAGTACGGACACAGTAGTGGTGTTGTATTGATATGCGTTCTCCCTGTTGAAAAGTGTTTACTGTAGCGCTTATTGATACACCACCAATGTTGTATCAGCATGTGTACGTGTTCCCCCTGCTACATTAGCTGTAGTGGTATTTTAATGTAGGAAACAATGTACACTTGTGATTTATGAAACTTATTTGGGAGGTGGGTGACAGTGGTGCGGTGGGTAGAGCAGTTGTCTCCCAACGAGAAAGTTGAAGGTTCAAATCTCAGTGCCTGCAGTCCACATGTCAAAGTGTCCTTGGGCAAGACACTGAACTGAAATACCTGTGATGGTGGTGTGTATGCACGCAGTGGCCCGGGGCCCTTGGCTCTAAACATAATTTCGTTGTACGTGTTACAATAAAAAAATATTGTGGTAAAGTGACTGTGAGCTTATATAAATCCACAGTGATACTTTAAAAAACTGATACTGAGAGATTGTCATATGGCTACAATATGTTAATGCACCTCAGGTGTATAAATGTTATGTTTCCATGTTTCAGTACAAACATAACCAGGTGAAATCAGCCTCTACACATATCTAATATTGTAGGAAAGATCCTATTTTGTTACTCACAATAAACACCTTTTAATCAGTATGCATTCTCTTTAATAATTTATACAACTGTGCATTTCTGCAGTCTATTTACACAATATATTTCCTTAAATAATTAAGAACATAAACATTCAAAGTAGCTTTTAAGTGTTGCATTGTATAAAATACAGTGGCAAACATTAAAAAAATGCATAAAAACAATTGTGAACAGCACTAGATTTAAAAAAGTGACATTTATATCCAGTACAGCAAGTTTTCAAATCTCTGTGCAAAAGTTAGCAAATCCCATGAAAGTTGAGTAGCTGACTCTTCAGCTCTCACCAGAAGTGCCAAGTTAGACTTCAGCAACTTTTGTTCTACAACTGTGCTCAAGAAAGAAAACATACCCACGTTCTAATGAAAACATCCGTATTGTCCTGTAGAGTAAAGGTTTCTCTTTGAGCTTGGTATTTCTCCATGATCTCACACTCCTCACTTCTTTCAGAAGAGTTGGAAACAAAGCATTTTTATCTTGGCATCCAGTAACATTGCATCAGTTCATTTACATGTTACAAAGCCTTTCATTACCAGGGATTTGGAGTGAGAAGGCCTCCAGTGACAGAGTCAGGGGACACAATGAAGGCCAGGCTTGTTGTCTTTGAGTTGGGTTCTAACATGCTGTTCAGGGAGAAAAATCAATGCAGAAATGATTCAAATACCATACAGTCAGTGCAACACCCAGCTTGCTACATTGAGAGACTCTGCATTGCATTCATCCCATCAGCACTCACCACCATTCTAACATCAGGGGTTAAACAAAAAAACAAAAACAAATTATGTACATAAAAAAATAATGGCAAACTAAATACTCTGCTTTAGAAAAATAGGTCTAACCTTTATTTTTGAGTCTCTGTAGAAGAGTTATGTGGTATATCTTACGCATCAATACGTCACACACAGCTGATTGAGACCTTTTATAATTTAGTCAAGTGCATTCTCCATGCATTACATGAGCTTGGTGGAATTTGTGTTGATAGAAAACTAAAATGACAAATTTATTGTCGTCATGCAGTTCATCCTAAAAAGGTTCAGTACATTTACATGTGTGATGTGGAGAAGCGGGGGTTCTTTGCATTGGATTGATGTTTGTAAAGGTTAGAGCGGGCTAATAAAGCTAAGGCTACTGAAGGCTGAGCTGTGCCCTCAGCTCAAACTAGTTTTTTATTTAATTTTTTTCTGCTGATGCTTTGTTAGTGATGATTTGTTATTTAGGAAAGTGTACTTTTCAAAAAAAATAATGGAAGACCTAAAGCATGCAACCCAAAAGTATCATTTCAGTCAGTTTCCTCTAGCTCAGGAAAAGTTTCCTCAGCAACTTTTTCATAGTTCTTAGAACTGTTGGACGAAGTTTCGGCCTTTTTTGTGTGTCTGCACCGCAGGAACAGAGAACAATAATAGTTCTTAGAATGCTGTTTTGAGGGACTGTTTCAGCTCCTACTTCAGGGCAGCGATTCTCCAAGCACAATAGGAACTATTAGTGATATACTGTATGTGCGCTGTATGTTGACTACAGCACTGCTAACTGCCCTTTTTAAAAAAAAAACTGTGGTAGCTGTGTAAACAATTGTGAGCAACAGCCATCACCAGCTGCATGGAGAGCTGCAATCTGCCAACAGAAGTCTCTGCAGAGGGTTAGTGACTCCTTCTATACTTAAAGTTACTTACTGTACTGGTAATGTAACATAGCGTGAGCTTGTTGGCTAATTGCTAACAGTCAGCCACCTTACGTTACTTCAGTGTTCCTACTGGGGGTGCGAATACAAACAGAAAAAAGCCTGTGAAAGTATGTAGTTCTTGGGAGAGCTCCCCAGTGGGGTTCTTCCTAGAAATAGGTCCCTAGAAATGTTTGGTCTGAAAGCAGTCTTTGTAAAGGACCTTTTTGTCAAGGCTGACTGAGGACGTTAATAATTTCTACAACTTTTTTTTATGACCAAAATGAAATTTGTTTTTGTAGACCTTCTGAAAATATAATGACATGATTGGTCAAAAATATATACAGTAGTTTCAGTGAGGACCAGTTGCACATACTCTATATAACAATATATGACAAAAGTGTACAGTTCTGTGATGATATATAATGAGATAGCAAGAGAGGAAAGTTTTGGCAATTAGACTTGGACGATCAGAAGTATCTTCATTACTTGAAGGCTCAACAATGTAATGAATGGCAAGTGGCAAGAAAAAGGAAGTGGTTATGTATGTTTTTGACTGATTACATTTTGTTGTTTTCAGACACATTTTTAAATGCACAAAAATACCGTATTAACTGAAAAACAACAATTGTAGAAATCATTAAAATCCTCAACCAGTCATGCCATAAACATCCCTTATAAGCTGTGACCGCAGCCGTATGGGGTCATATCACCTGCGCTGATATGATGCAGGTCTCATATTTTTTACATCTACTGTAAACTTTCATTGTGTGTCTCGAACATCTACAGTTCACCACTGAAATGTTTTTCTTGTGAGAGTTGTTAAATTCACATACTTATTAACTTTGATATTTGCAAGCAAATTAACTCACAACACGAGTGCAGTTCAGAGATGCTCGTTTTCTTCATTCTGGTTGTAGAAAATGTTTTTTCCAGAGTGCAGTAAACTCTAGAGACACACCATAACTCGAGTGTATGGACTGATTCATCATTATCGCTCTCAAAGACGGACAAAAGTCTTGTTGTGCGATGGGATGGCCACACAACCTACACGCTCATTTTTATGATTACACTGTTCTGTGTTTTGAGCTGAATAAGAGATCATTTTCATGCCTTGTGGCAATGTGGTGTAAAACAGTAGGCATGCTAAACACACAGACAGACCTCTTTGCAATTTTGGAACTGTCAATTTGTTTGGAGCTGCTGAAAAAAGATCAACTTCAAAGCTGAAAAATAGAAATATTTCAAGTAGCTTTGTGCAGAGGGACGAGTCACAGGAAGTGAGACTTGATAGCTACAGTGGTCTGTAAGCATGCCAAGATCACACCTGATTGCCTGGTGAGTTTCTGTGAGGAACATGCAACAGAAGAGAAAATATGAGAATGAAAAACATGCATATATCTGTTTTAGAAAAAACACATTGGGTGCCTCTGTTGCTGGCAGTGTTCTATTGGAAGTATGTACACAGTAGATGGTGACTTTACATATCTTAGTGATGGAGTGTATAAATGCCTCTGTATAAATTGACTTTACATGTCTAAATCAGAGTACGAAGGGTTGGGGCTTTTCTGAAAAGGAATGGAAGAAAGTTTGCTTCCTTTGCATATTCAGTCTCTTTCTTAGACCCTGAGTCAAACTTAAGAGAAGACCTTCAGTCAGTGTTGAGGGTGGGGGACCTACTTTCCTGGAAGCCCTGGGTCAGAAACTGGCCTGTGGAGTCCCAACGTTTCTGAGCTGCTGGGGACATCGGGTAACGATGCTTGTCGGCCCGACGGGAGCCTCGCTGACCGTTGGCGTCGCTCTGGAGAGTCCTTGTCATTTTGTGTGTGTCTCTGCTTCATGTCTGTGTCACTCTTGAACAGTCCAGCAAATTTCCCATCTGGAAGAGTCTCTGTGTGAAGGAGGACTGGGGAGGTTTCTTTGGATTTGTTCTGGGCCTTGTCTGGGCCAGGGCACTGAGGAAGACAGTTTGTCAGGAGCAGTAAAGTCATAATATACACTACAACATCCATATTTACAGTAATACAGCACATAAATAAAATGACAGTTTTGCCTCCTCTATAGAATTGTATTCAGTTGCTTGTGATGTTTGAACAATGGTTCTAAACCTGAGGAGAAAAAACAGCAAATTCACACAGCTCAGTTATGGAATCACCTAACATTTGGCCAAAATAATTAGTACTGTTTCCTTCTTGATGGGTGTGGTGTACCTGTGGCCGAGGCAGAGACAGACTGAGGTTCACATCTGTCTGGATGGCAGACATTGGCTGCACCCTGATGGCCGGCCTCTGGTACTTGAGGCTGGAGGTGACAATGCTGTAGGCAGGCGGCCCGGCTGCAGTCTGCCTCTGGAGGAGCTGCAGGATGGCCTGGATGTCTGCGGTCAACTGGGACTCCAGTCTGATGATCGGACAAATGACAAGACACTTTCACAAAATTAGCAGTGAAACACCCAGAATGTCTGCTGGTGAATACTGACATGAATAAAAAGGTCACCAAGCTCTTTACTGTTTGTGTCATTTCCACAGTTTTTTAGGATAAGGATAATCACCTTTATTGGCCAAGTATGTTACACACAAGGAATTTGTTTCCAGTACAGAAATGAGGCAGCCATCTGCGGCGCCAACTCAACCGATGGCTCTAACCAAAGGGGGCAACGGGGGGGATTCAGTGTCTTGCCCAAGGACACTTTGACATGTGGACTGCAGGCACCGAGATTCAACCCACCAAGGAGACAACTGCTCTACCCACCGCACCACTGTCGCCTCCCCTTTTAGTGGTTATGTTGTATTCTGTGTGTTACTACTGTGACCTAATTTCCCAGTGATCAATAATATCATCTCATCACCATCAACTGACTGTCAGTCCCCTAATCAGCATAATGACTGATATTATCTTTTCTCAGGAATAAATGACAATAGTGGAAATCAACTGTGTATTGTGAAAGTGGGTGGGTGGTTATTACTGATACCAAACACTAGGGGGAGACTCAAACCTTACACTTGCACAGGGTTTTAGTAGTGTCTCAGTGCTTCAGAAATGTTTCCTACAGGAGGATGAGGAATGTTGTTAGCTTGATGCAGGAGAGAGTGAACATGACCTTGTACAGTTTAGAGTGTAGCCTGGAGGAGCATAGACTGGTGTCTGTCAGTGGTGGAAGAAGCATTTGTATTCATTACTTAAAGTGGAAAAAAAAAAAGTCAGTGAATTCTTTGGGATGACCTGGTTTCATGCAACAATATGTCAAATAAAGGTGATCTCATCTTGATCTAATTAGGGTTATAGACCATGTGGTTAAGCTAATAGTTATAATCTTTTTTGTTTTTATTGAACACGTCAATTAAACTTTCACAGTTTTGGTGGAAAATGTGGTATGAACTCATGGATTTAACAAGGATAATCACCTTTATTTGGCCAAGTATGTTACATACAAGGAATTTGTTTTCGGTACAGAACCAAGGCAGCCATCTGCGGTGGAGCAGCAGGAGCAGCTTTGGACATACAAACTGCGTCAGCTCAGATATGTTTTTTACTGTTCCTATCATTACTTAAACTGTATTTCATCATAACTGTTAGATGAAGATTGTACTGTATTTTAAGACAAATGTAACATAAATGCAGGACATTCCAAAGGTTTTGCTGACTTCTGCTTGCTACTGTACTATATTGTTAGGTTGTTGATGTTGATGCATTTAGATTTAAATGGCATCAAGAATTAGACAAAAAAACAAAAAAAACAAACTCAAAACTATCTCAAAATTGTGCATAATCAAAGTGAAAAACCTAACTACTTAGTTTCAGCACTGGATGTCTAGTTGTATGGATGCTGAGTCAGCATCCATACTATGTTATCCTGGTCTTTATTGTATGGATGCTGATTCAGCATCCATACTATGTTATCCTGGTCTTTATTCTTCTTCTTCACCTTCAGTGTACTTTCAGCTAGCAAAAGCATTCAGGTGTCAAAATGTTCAGCATTTTCAGGGCGATTTTTCTGCACTCAGCATCCATACGCATTTTCTTCAGAAAATGCAATTTTCTAGTTTTCTATGTGCATTTATTTTGAATGTTGATGACGAATTATTATTTCATCTCCTAGTGGTTACTATGACAGCCAGTGTAAAATATTAGCAAGCTGTATGCAGTTCTTAACCAAACCAATCTGTGGCAAAGAGGTAAATCTTTGAATTAAAGATAAGGATTTGATAATTGCTGGAAAGTTTCTGTATGGCACAAACTAAAATGCCAAACACTTGGCACGGAGTGTGTGATCTGGTGAATCGCCTCTTTCCTCCACACACTACGTTTTCTGTCCATTTATAAAACAGAAGGCAAAAACAGCACACAGAGCCAGCAGAGACTAGAAGGTGTGCAGGGGAATGCCTCCTTGTCGCTTTGCCAGGTGCCTGCTAGACATAAACAGATCGGCTCAAGCCTGTTTCAGTAAAATGAGGGTTGGCTGTGCTGTGGCCATGTCTGCTGCTTCAGACAAACATTTACCCAAACCAGCACAAATGGAAGAATGATGGCCAGTTGTGGCATGATCCCACATTTAAACAGAGAGACAAAAGGCAGATCTGTATGCTGAAACCTGAAGAAACAGCTTCACATCCATGGAAAAAAAAAAGCCATTTCCTCACTCCCTCCAGAACTGCACCAATACTCTGTGACTTCACCATGACATCCGCTATCTTCACCTCACAGGATGACACCAAGAATCTTTGCAATGTGTCTGCATCTCATGGCTATAAATAGACTCTTGCTGACTGTCTGCCTCCCCCTCATCTATATCAGTGCACCAGAATCACATGAGCTGCTCACACAGAATGCTCTCTGCATTAACACGGCTGCAGTGCGTCTGGCCTACAATGTCTCTGTCCAGGTTTCAGCCAATTAGACACAGTATCGTAACTGTTTTCAAGGTGAGCTCTGACTTTGTAATGAATTGAAAGAAAAATGAAATGCCTATTATGGGAAGCAGAGCAAGACATGATCCTGAAGGTATCTTTAGTTATCTAAATGTCAAAAGCCTCATCTGCGTAAGAACACATTTTGTGCTTCATTTGGAAATATAAATTCATCCTAGATGATAATGAGGTGAGAAGCATTTTAACTGTTATCTGAGTAGTGCATGGTGTTCAGAGAAGTTGCTGTTACAGAGCACTTTCCACCCTCTCTTGCCCCTCCACACCTGTTGAGGTGCTGCTGCAACAGGTCCAGCCGCTGCTCCACCTCTCCGTAGGTGAGATCCGTGTCGCTGTCCTCCTCTTCAGCCGGCGTTTCCTGACACTGCAAAGGCTCCTGCGTGGCCTTGCCAGGACAACGCGCCCACTCCTCAGCATATATTTCTGGAGGGAGATAGGTGAGTGTAAACAGATATGGGGTAAATGATATGTGGTGTTAGAACGCTGACACTGAGAAAGCATCCTCCTGTGTTGTGCTTTCTCATCATTTAGCTGTACTAAGCTCTGACCACCTTATGGCCATCCTATAGAAAAATACACACATCCAACCCTGGCTGACAATTGCACCCTCAGAGGAACGTTGTCTCCTCTTCTTATGAGTGTCTGTGGTTGAGGAGGAACAGCAAGTAATGGCTGGAGATACAACTGACATTTCCTGGATGCTGTCTTATTTATAGTCATTGATATTACTCTGCTCTAATCTAGCCACAGGCGTTGCAAGCCAGTGACTTCTGTGCCGGTCCCAAGGCCAGATAAACAGAGAGGGTTGCATCAGAAAGGGCATGTGGCGTAAAAACATCCCACATTTAAACATGCAAATCATCAGTGTGAATTCCATACTGCATCGGTCGAGGCCAGGGTTAACAACGACCGCCACCAGTGCTGTTGACCTACAGGGTGCTGGCGGAAACTGAACTACTGTTGGTCGAAGAAGGAGAGGAGGCAGAAGGATTTGTAGAGAGAGAGAGAGAGAGAGAGAAGAGGAAAGGCAGGAGTATAGGTCTGAGAATAGGGACTCTTAACGTTGGCACAATGACAGGGAAAGGTAGAGAGCTGGCGGACATGATGGAGAGGAGGAAGGTAGATATACTGTACGTATGTGCAGGAGACCAGGTGGAAAGGGTAGCAAGGTGCGTAGTATTGGAGGGGGATA